TACTATTATTAGAATTAGGGTTAGGGTTGAGGTTAATGAAGATACAACCCCAACCTTCAGAAGGGACAACGTGACTACTCCCACCCACCCCCACCACCGGTGGTATCTTCCAGGAGAGGTCTGAACTACCCCGTCTCCCCGGTGGTTTCGCCCAGGAGGTGATTATACTATTGTAAACCCTCCACCATCTTCAGTTTCTCCAAAAAGCGGAATGTACCATCCTGATTTTACTATACTCCCCCCACCAGCCTGCTGGTTTCCCCCCAGGAATCGGCTGTTGCATATAAGACGTCTCTCCCTCGGTGCCTTTTCCTTCCGTGCTCCCCGGTTCCCCCTCTTCCCTGGTGGTTTCTCCCAGCAGATAACTGCTCTTCGCACTGCGCCGTACTCTGATGGGCGATTTAGAGCGCTGGGCCCCAACTCCAATTTCTTCCTCTTCTCGGAAGCCTACCCAAGCAAGGACCATACCATCCCTTCCATGTGACAGTCTCATTATCCTGCTCTGTGAAACTGGGTCAGAGTTCGATTCCCACGATGGCGGCCCGCACAGAGCATCATCCGGTGGGAGCGGCCATATTCTGTGCCCTACAGCGCCTCTTTTGGAAACCGAACGAAGTCCCTGGCAGCGTTTATCCGCGCTACGTTGACTGTTCGCCGCGTGCCGCTTCCGACGAGACTGTGAGGACGCAATACTAACAAGCCCTGTGGGAGGAGCTAGAGGTCGGACAGGAAGCGGAAGTGGTCCTCGGAAGGCTGTCTCGCAGCGCCTGTCGCGAGCGGGTGTGTGGTTTAACGCACAGCGATCTGTGAGGCGATTTTGGTTGGTGTTACTTGGGCATTCTCGTGGCACAGTGGTTAAGAGCTCGGCTGCTAACCATAAAGGTTGGCAGTTCGAATCCACTAGCCGCTCCTTGGAAACCCTCTGGAGGAGTTCTCCTCTGTCCTATAGGGTCGCTATGAGTCGGACTCGACGGCAACGGGTTTTACGGGGTCAGTGATGGGGTGTGTCCGTAGAGTTAGCGATGATGGTCTCTGGGCTCAGTGATGGAGTCTGTGGCAACAAGATGAATGTCTGTAAGGTCTCTGGAGTCAGTGATGGGATCTTTGAGATGAATGGGGTTTGGGGGGTCAGTGGTCAATGACAGAGAGTCTGTGGGGTCAGCCATGGGGGTCGGTGGGGGTCTGTGATGAGCTTGCTTTCTAATGAGTTGAAAGTTAAGCTAATTAATTTTCAGCTTTCCTTAATGTAAGCATTCACAAACTTTGGTATGTAACATTTTCTTTGTTGTTCAAATCTTAAGTGTTCTCTTTTTAAAATTTCAGTTATTATTTCTTTGACCCATAAGAAGTGCTTTTTTAGTTTTCAAATAATGCCCTCTGTATAATGCTCATTCTTTGATGAGTTAAAAAATTGTTTTATGGCCTAGTTAATGACCAGTTTTCATAAAGGTCACATCTATTACATGAAACAATGTGTGTTCACTAATTAACTTTTTTTTTTTTGGTCTGCCTGATTAATTACAGAGGAAGGTAAACGACTCAGACTGGAAAGATGATATGTTTACTTGTCCTTTTTGCCAGTTTCTGCTTTATATATTTTAAGCTATAT